CCCAGCATTCAGAGAACGTAGTGTTCTAGTGGGGTAATAGGGTACTATGAGCTCTTTAAGATATGAAGGGGCCTGACCATGAAGAGCTTTATAGGTGAGGAGGAGGATTTTAAATTCTATTCTACATTTAACAGGGAGCCAATGCAGAGAACCTAGTACAGGAGAGATGTGATCTCTTTTTCTAGTTCTTGTCAGTACTCGTGCTGCAGAGTTCTGAATTAATTGGAGTGTTTTAATGGACTTATTGGGGCAACCTGATAATAAAGAGTTGCAGTAATCCAGCCTTGAAGTAACAAATGCATGGATTAGTTTTTCTGCACCTGTCTGTGATAGTATGTGTCTAATTTTTCTAATATTGCGTAAATTAAAAAAGGCAGTCCTAGAGGTCTGCTTTATGTGGGAGTTAAATGACAAATCCTGATCAAAGATAACTCCAAGATTCCTGACAGTGGTGCTAGAGGCCAAGTTAATGCCATCTAGAGTAACTATATCTTTAGACAGTGAGTCTCTAAGGTTTTTGGGGCCAAGAATTTCGTTTTTTTCTGAGTTTAACATCAGAAAATTGCAGGTCATCCAGGATTTTATGTCCTTAAGACATGTTTGTAATTTAGATAATTGATTAATTTCATCGGGCTTGATTGATAGATGTTACTGCGTATCATCTGCATAACAGTGAAAGTTAATGGAGTGATTCCTAATAATGTTGCCTAAAGGGAGCATATATAAAGTAAATAGTATTGGTCCAAGTACAGATCAATATGGTCTCCTATGAGCTGAAACAAAAGAACCTGTCCAATAGCAGCAAGGTCTCCTAGATAGCCAAGCCCTTTGTTTCCATGTTTTTTTCCCTCACATTGGAACTTTGTGTACAAGTTAATAATTTTATGGATGGAAACACACCTGTAGGATCCAAAACTTGGTCACATGACCCTTCTTGTAGACTTAAGCAAAAGGGTGTATTAATCCACTTTCCCTCATACAAAATAAACTTCAGACAACACGGTGGGAAAAGTGTGCAGTTACACTCTTCCCTGCAAGTGTTGTAATTAATCCTTCTGTATTCAGTTTGGACTGACACATTTCAAGCTTACAGCCAACACTGATTCTGTAGTCCTGAGTAGTGTCCACCTAAGTATACCTAACTGGCATTTCTGCATTTCACACTAACAAGTATCCACCGCTTCACCTCCAAACTGACTCAGTAAGGTGATGACCCACTGTTTGATCTCTATCAGTAAAAGCTGAAGTTTGCTTACCTTTTTTATTTAAAGTTTTATTTCATTTTGAAACTGACTAACAGCTTGCACCACAATCCCAGCTCTGCTGGAAGTTTGAAGTTGTGCGATACTGTGTTAAGCTTGTGTTTATTTTATTACGTTATTGAGAGGTACAGTCTAGGTTACTTAATCACTTTAGGGTGACTCAACAGTGTGGTATGCGGTAATATGGCCATTGTTGTTGTTTTTGCTAATTACTTGGGATAATGTTTCATCTCAGTTCCTGTTTGTACTGCTCACCTACACTCTCCCTCCTCCTGCCTCCTGGGTCTGTGACCTGTTAACTAGCAGCTTCCACTCGTTAAACTAAAACCCTGGCGTCGCCATCATATTTTTGCGTCAACGCTTCGCCACAGCTCGCCCCACACACGTGGGAGACCAAACATTGCATAATGGAGGAACGAAACAGCAACCTCCTCACAGAATTCCCAACAAAGCCCTGCAAAAAGCCCCAATAAAAGAAAGTCCTAAAAAAAAAAAAAAGCAGCTCGCCCTAAATCATTAAAGGTATGGGAATATTTCAAATTTAGTCCCAAACGCAAAGGTGTTGTTATTTGCGCTCTTTGCCAAATGGAGTTGGCATACCACACCAGCACAACAGCAATGTGGGAGCATCTGAAACGGAGGCACCCCATTGTCACTCGTGAAGGAGACAATGACAATTAAGTACTAACGTTGGCTAAATTAATTTCATGTTTGTGTAGTGTGTTGTGTAGCTTGAGCTCTGCGCACTTCGGTGGTGCTAGCTAACTATCTTAGCTCTCCATGCAGTTTGTTCGTGCTAGATTAGTAGCTAACGTTAACATTAGCTAGCTACTGGCGCCTAGACAGCTGTGTTTAGCTAACGTTAGTTATCATCTAATGTTGGCTTGAATGGTAGCTAGCTTACGGCTGCAGAACACCGCTATCTATAGTAGCTAACGTTGGCTAACGTGAACTTTAGCTACTAACCTAGCACGACCCAACTGCACAGAGAGCTAAGATGCGTTGGTTAGCCTAGCACCACCAAACTGCATAGCTGCTAGATCTAGCTAACTGTAGCAAGCAGATTGCAGTTGCTTTTAACGTTATCTAACAGAAAAATAATCGTTAGATTAATCGTCCAATTAGTCCGTAGATTAGTCGACTGATAAAATAATCGCCCGATTAATCGTTTAATAAATAATCGTTTACCCCCAGCCCTACTCTCTACCCCCCTTTTCATGTCTATTTTCGGCTGTCCCTATCCAATAAAGTCAATAAAAAGACCCAAAAATAACCACATACTGACATAACTAAACAAAGAAACAACAAACAACATTTAACACTAAAACAAACATAAAACATGGCAGATCTTACAGCTGGGTCACAGACAGATTTATGTGCAATACATAATAAAACAAAAAGTAAAATAGATAACATAAATTTAAATGAAATCAATTAAATTTGAACGAAAACATGCACATTTGCAGTTTCCTCACTTATTTCTAAAAAAAAGAGCGATCTTGGTATGTTATTTACTCATTCGTGCTGGCTGTCGGCTGAGTCGCACGTTTGACGCTCATGTAGTTTCCTTGTCACGTGACACGAGCCAGCTCAATACGCCGCCAGGTAGTGGGGTGACTCAGCACATAGTAATTGAAGTAAGCTATCCAAAACAGTTGAAAGTGATGCATGCACCCCCAGTTCCTATTTGTTAGTTGATATCGATATTTGTTTAAGGAAAACTATGCCAAATGAGTAGCGTGTGAGTATTGATACACCCATCTAGAGGTGGGCGATATATATCGTTTGCGATAATTTCGTCATTGTTGTTTTGACGATGTGCAAATTTCCATTATCGAGTATTTAAATTACTTCGACAAAAACAATGAAACGCCCGCGGAAACTTCTCACATCCATTAATACACGGTGCAGCAGCGCTCTCTACAGCATGGCAGGATTCAGTCACATAACTAGTGGGCCTACGTGATCACATGACGTGATCACGTGACCTCTCGCTAGCATCCTCCTTGCAACAGTTTAGTAGCGTGTTGCGATGGTAGAGAGAAAATGCAAGCACCTCCAGTCCCTGAAGCTACCGGTACTTCAGATGATTTAGTGCCGAGACGTGGGTCCTATGGGCTTCAGCGTTCAGAGCGCTAAGCGCCTTCAGCGGTAAAAAGATGTCAGCGGAGACTGCTGGGCGCTCGGAAAATAAGTTTTTGAGCTCTCTCAGCGCTGTAAACGCGTTTGGTGGACACAAGTCCAGCTCAGACAATTCTAATCACATTTTAAAGGATATCGACTGATTATCGTTATCGCCAAAATCCCAAAAAATATTGAGATATTATTTTTTGCCCATATCGCCCACCCCTACGCCCATCCCTACTCTAGGGAGACATTGACAGTTGTCTTCCACCTCACTTGGTGTCAGTTAGTTTGGAGCTGAGTAAATGTTCAGTAAGTTCCAGGCTGCAAGTTGAGAAGTTGTGAAAACAGCTGTTCTGACTTTCTTACTTAGTGTTATTGTTTGTTAAACCATCCGATTATTAGAACCAAATTATATATAGTATATTTGAATTTTATTTTCCTACTTAATCAGTGTTATTTCTTACAATATAGCAAACATCAACTGCATCATGTCTGCATATGTCCCTTGAACGGATTAAGAAGTGCCAACACCAGTGATTGTCCGACCAATGAGAATTTGGTCAGACCAACCAGTCTATCAACTGACCAGAAGGTGTCAACCCTTCAAATATTAACTGTCATACTACCTAATGTCATATTTGACCTATTAGCAGTTTGTCAGTATCACTGATGAGGCAGCGTCTGTTTTGTTGTTCAGCTTTTTAAGCCGTTTACTTCTAACTTGTATCATGTGCATGAGTTCATGTCCATTTTATATTCAATCACACACTGCACATTAGGGGTGTAACGGTACACACAAGTCACGGTTCGGTACGTACCTTGGTATGGGGGTCATGGTTCGGTACAGGTTCGGTACAACGGGAAAATAAAAATAAAAAAATCACATATAAAACACTGCAAAATAAAAAACCATCTCCTGTTGAATTGAATTAAATTAAAAGCAGCGGGGATAAGTTGTTGCACCAAAGACGTTTTTTTCCTTGCACCAGTGACGGATATGTCGGGGTGATGCCGTCTTATGTGGGTTAGCATGTTTTGAGGTGTTGCTAGCACCTCCGTGAAACATCGCCGGCAGAAAGTCTTTGTCCGGTCCACCACTCGCGTGCCATCACCATTATATTGTACTGGGAAGCCAAAGTGCTCCCAAACAGCTGATTTAAATGAAACCGGCGGCTCCTCCAACTCCACACTTTCCATCACTTTTCTTCTTCGTCCTTTTTTGTAACTACTACTTCTTCTTCTGTAATGACTGTTTCTGGCAGCTTTAAGGCTCATTACTGCCACCTGGATTAAAGTGAGGACTCGACTTTTTTTAAAACTCACTCAGATGTATACGTTGTACGACTGTATGCACCGTACCATGACGCCCGTGCCGTGACGGTTCAGGACGAATACAAATACTGTTACACCCCTACTACACATACAAAGGTGATGTTGTCAGATGTAATTTTTGGACTAATGAGGGCAGATTTGCTTAAATTATTTGTGACTGAAAGTTAGTGATTTACTCGCTGGCCGGTGACCCTACTTGTTGGCATACACTGGACTGTTGTGATTGCTTGCTAACTTTCTGACCAAACCAGGGTTCTGATATGCGTTTCCATGATGCAGGGCTACACCTCGTTCTGGAATGACTGCATTTCATCGGGTTTGCGAGGGTGCATGCTGATCGAACTGGCTCTGCGAGGACGCCTTCAGCTGGAGGCCTGTGGCATGAGGAGGAAAGGTCTGCTGGCCAGAAAGGTAAGGACACATGTTGCTGCTTGTGTATGAAATCAGTTGTTGAGAAAGTTTATTTTATTTTCATATGTCTCATACGACCAACTCCCTCTAAACACATCTACACCTCTAAACTCTTAACTTCTCTTTGTTCCTTCATCATTACAGGCTACATAAAAGTGACAATATAGGATGAAATTTGCTTTGGGGCAGAGTAGCTTTCCATTTACAGATCATTCAAATAGAAAATCTGTTGTCCATTAATTTTCTGCTCGAGAAATAAGGCCCCCACATTCTCTGGTTGGAGCTTGTGCACTATAGAAATTTCTAATATTCTCTGGTTTATGTAATGTAGAAAACGTAATTGACAAATGAATCGATAATAAGTTAATTTTAGTTGTATTCTTAGCGGAGTGAGTGAACTGCAAAGCACACAGGGTGCCCACAGGACACTTTAGAGACAAGTTTTCCAGTCATGGAAACACCTGGAAGTTCATTAAAATTACCAAATATCCTGGAAAGAATCTATGTTGTCCTGGAAAATGTTAAATTTTAGCCCCTGACCCAGTTCACCTACATAAACCTAGGTGCTGTCGGTAGGATAAACTGTATGACCCTTCACAGCGGGTTTACCAGATGCAAAGTTGAACTAACATCTGCAAATCTTTTTGGCATCAAGTCTGTTTTTTCCGGAGCTGCGGGTAAAATTCTCTTATCTACATGCATGCAGCCCAATAATGATCCAATTTCTTGTTGCTGCGGTTGATAAGTACATGCACAGTGATGTTAATTGTACGTGCAATGAACACTAACTTTCTATAAATTAAAAGGTTTAAAAAAAGTAAACTAAATCAAGTCTATAAATTCTACTTGATTTGAACTTGATTTACTTATGGGCTGGGCCAAATGAATGTAGTCAATTTGCCCAGAACAGGAGCTTATATGGCCGTCTGTAACCAAGTCCTGTCCTGTATTGTATGAAAAACTCCTGGAAAACGATTTGTGGAAAAGAGTGGGAACCCTGAATATACAAATGAGCTGTTAGCAGTAGAGGTGGGCGATATATATTGTTTGAGATAATATCGTCATTGTTGTTTTGACGATGTGCAAATTTCCATTATCGAGTATTTAAATTACTTCGCCAAAAATATTGAAACGCACACAGAAACTCCTCACATCCACTTAATACACGGTGCAGCAACGCTCTCTACAGCATGGCAGGATTCAGTCACACGACTAGTGGGCCTACGTGATCACATGACGTGATCACATGACCTCTCGCTAGCATCCTCCTTGCAACAGTTTAGCAGCGCGTTGTGATGGTAGAGAGAAAATGCAAGCCTCTCCAGTCCCTAGTGCCGAGACGTGGGTCTACCTCTCTAGCATGGAAATGGTTTAGTTTTGAAAATAACTTTTTTAGCGCAGTGCTCAGAGCGCTTCAAGTTGAAATCTGTTCAACTTTTAACACTGCTGGGTGCTCGGACAATGAGTTTTTGAGTGCTCTCAGCACTAAAAACGTGTTTGGTGGACACAAGCCCTAACTCAGACAATTCCAATCACATTTTGAAGGATATTGACTGATTATCGTTATCGCCAAAATCCCAAAAAATAACGAGATATAATTTTTTGCCCATATCACCCACCCCTAGTTAGCAATTTGGGTGTGTGATGTGATCGTCTCTGTGAGCAGAGTGTCGGTGTATTAAATGTTGTTGTAAGGCACACATTGTAATTGGCTGCCATCATTGTGATTGAAATTTGCAGGTGATTTGTAAGTCAGATGCTCCGACAGGTGACGTGCTCCTGGATGAAGCCCTAAAACACATCAAAGACACACAACCACCAGAGACCGTGCAGAGCTGGATTGAACTTCTCAGTGGTGAGTTGGCTGCTTCACAGGCCCATAGACCCACACTGGGGGGGGGGATATTTGTAAAGAGAGCTGTAAGCCAAATTGATCCATGGTGCCACCCTTTGTTTATAGCCAACTTAATTTTGAGCTGAAGCATATGGTTTGAAAATACAATTATAGCATAGATAGGAATTACCACAGAAGCTGTTTTGAGTCTAGTTTAGAGTCTTCGAATTTCATAATTCATACAAATGGTGCTATTATCATACCACGGTAGGTGTCTAACCCATAAGTCATATTTTCATCACCATTGTTATATGCCTGAAATGCGAAAATCATTTTATGTAGGAATGCTTGCAGGAACCCAGTATTAAATGGGGCTCAGGGCTAAAGACCAGAGTATTTATTATCACACCTGCAACCTCTGTCTGTCTGTCAGTGAACAGCAGATGAGCGAGTCTGCGGTTGAGATGGTGAAGTCAAGTTAACCTAAAAAATGACCCAAGTTAACGACAACTACGCTCATTACTAAAAGTAAGTGGGATAAAACCTCTGCAAGTGAAAAGGCAATACTTTATTAACAAACTGTTCAAAAAGCACAAGCATGTAGAAAAGCAATATCTGCTCTGTGTGCAGTCTCCCATCCACCACTGCTGTGTTTTCCACCAGCACAGCATGATGGCTCGACTAAAAGCTAATAGTTGCAAGCTAAAATAAAGGCTCACTTCAGATTTGTTTTTCCACATATCTTAAAAATTGGAAACGAGAAAGGAGAAAAAAATGTGCTCCAGGCTCCTCCCTCTACAAGCATGGTGTTTGAATAGAAGTTGTGAATGAGACATACAGAGGTGGGGTGTGAGAGACAATTCCAGAATCCCAGACTCCAAAAAGCTGAGTCAAGAATTTATTTTGTAGATTAGTGACTGTGTTGCAGCACTATCTTTTCAGAGCAGCTCTAATAGGTTTATTGTGACATGTTAGGGGGGTGATGTCATATGAAAAAGTAACACCAATGCATGCGCTCTATAAGGGACATGTCTACCACTGTGTATGCATTGTCTGACATTCTCACTGTGTTCTTTCTGTTTTCCTTGTCAGAGCACCTTGTCACTTTTTTGTGACTGCATTAACTGTCTTTTGTTTTACCGGTTCGTCTTTAGGAGAGACGTGGAACCCCCTCAAGCTTCACTATCAACTACGGAACGTGCGTGAACGGCTGGCGAAAAACTTGGTGGAAAAAGGTGTCCTCACTACTGAGAAGCAGAACTTCCTGCTTTTTGATATGACCACACATCCTCTGACCAACAACAACATCAAGCAGCGCCTCATCAAGAAGGTCCAGGAGGCCGTACTGGACAAGTGGGTAAATGACCCCCATCGAATGGAAAAGCGGCTGCTTGCACTCATCTTCTTAGCCCATTCCTCTGACGTCCTGGAAAATGCATTCGCCCCGCTGCTAGACGACCAATATGACCTGGCCATGAAGAGAGTGCGGCAACTGCTGGAACTAGAGCCTGAGGGGGAGAGCATGAAGGCCAACACCAACGAGCTGCTATGGGCTGTGGTGGCCGCTTTCACCAAATGAGGCTCCCTCAAAGAGGACAGAAAGCAGTTGTGGCATTCAAGTGGCATTGTTTGTTGAGGTAGTGACCCCAACATGGTGACTTGACTAAATTTAGCCCTGCCTGGACCTTTGGAATGGGCTGCCCTCTTTTCTCCCTCCCTACTCCTCCCTCCCTAATTTTCTTTTCCTTCCAGATAAGTGTCCTCGTTGATCCTTCATGGTCCCGTTTCCCCCCATGTGTCATTTATGTGTTAACTTTTGCTAAAAATAATAATCTCATGGAGCTTTGTGATGATATGGGTGAGGCTGGATTCATATCCTTTCTTTTCTATTGGGCATATCTTTGAAACCGTTTCTTAGGGGTACAGTATGTATGGCACCAGTTACTCAAGGTTACCATCCGGACACACCTGATAATGATAATATAAAAAGAACAGGTCAGTGATACTGTACAGGAATGAAAGATTAGCTTATGCCTTTTTAAATGGATATCTTCTAACACAGGCTTATGGATATGATGCATTTGGTGTCACAGCATTCTTTAAATTTCATATCAAGTACTGGAAGACAAGTAATGTGGTCAGGGTCTACTACCTAGTACTGTAAACATTAAGAGCTTATTTCCCATGTTGATCCACCTCATTTATCCGTTATATACACCTGCTTGTCCAGTGAAGGGACACAGGGCTGTCCCAGCTCACGCTGGTCGGGGGGGTGTACACCCTGGACATGTCACCAGTATTTAACTTTGCTAACACATTGAGACAGACAACCTGTCTTGCAAGGCAATTTAGAGTTTCCAGTTCACCTGACCTGTATTCTTTGGACTGTGGGAGAAAACCCTGACAGGTTCCGGCTGCCAGCTGGATTCAATCTGAGGATTTTCTCGCTGTGAATCGACAGTGCTACCCACTGTGACGCCTGACAGTCTATCCCATCTGGCCTAAAGTTGTGTGGAAGATCATTAATTTGTCAACAGAACAATAAGCATGGAAGTTAAATACAGTCCTAAGAAGATAGAGAGCTGACCTGTATGACATCCCTTATCAGTTACTTTGACCTTAGCCCCTTTAAATATTTTGGGAAAGACTTCAAATGAAAAGCCAGAACCTGATGAACATCATTAGACAGACTTGCTTAGGCTGATGCTAGAATAATACAAATTCCAAAGTTCTGCTAACAGGTGCAGAATGGATGGGGCTGAAACCCAAGGTATGATGATGGAAGGAAAAATAAATATATTGCACATTATCTGAAATAAATAAGCAAAAACAGCTTATACTGTTTTGAATGTCCTCGGGCCAGTAATTCTTTATTTTTGTGGACTCACACTGGGGTTATCTCATCTGCCTAATATAAACCAGGTAACAGGATTCCACTCTGTAATATCTGAATGGTAACCATTGAAAGTATCTTAGTCTGGAGCCCAATGTAACCATGTTCCATGTTTGCTTGTATCTCCTCAATAACACAAATGGCTCTACAGATGTGTAATGGATGGAATTTGGAGTGGTCAGAAATGACGCTGGCTGGGGTGAAGCAACTCTTTGCAATGAGTGGCTGTTGAGGATCAAACTAAGATATTTTAGTAGCTGGCACAAACTCAGAAATGCAGACCCAGTCAATGTCAGCTACCTTTTTGTTAGCAAAAATAGTTTTCACTTATTGGTGAATTTAAAATGTAATGAAAAATGAGGTAATCCTCAGGGCTTAATGCAGGATGAATGCATTTATGATAATGATCTCAGCTTTTGAGTTTTTGTATGCCACCTTGGCTCTATTTGGAAAAAACAAAACCCCTTCAAGACATTTAGTGAAATATGATTACGTGAAGATGAATGTGAATTCCAAGTCTAATTCAGTACAGGGAGACATCTAGGTTGATTTATAATGGACTGAATTAGACATAAACTGCTAGCATAGCTCCCTCAAACATTAAAAAAGTTCTTAGATGATTGTATTTGATATGACATATTGTCTGTATTTAAATATACAGAAACAGAAAACAAGATGTTTTGTAGAGAAGATGGGAAGTATTTATTAAGCAACACCTGCTAGGGTTGGGCGATATGTAAACATTTTCCAGTCAGCCACCGTTCTAACAATCACCATGTCTGGTGTCTAACCTTCTAAATTAGATAAAAAAATATTCTGGCTCTACACGTTCTTGATGCCTACGGATGGGAATTAATCAGATTTTATTGATACCAGTGCCATTATCTATTCTGCTCATCTGTCCGATTTACCCTCTGTAACAGATGTGATGCCATGCTTTGAAGCGTTTCTTTATCTCAGTCGTGACTCCATCTTGTTGCAAGTTTCCAGCAACACAGACATGGGAATGTGACATCAGTTTGGCAATGTGCAACATACAGGCATCAATAAAAGGAATGGATAATCCTGGAAGTGTATGATTCCGATGGATTGGACAATTTGAAACCAGTTCTCAATTCCCATCCCTACTGATGCCCGACCACCGTCCTCAGTCCTCTTGCGCTTGACACCTTTTGTGACCCTGCCGTGTCTCGTCTTCCTGAGTTAGTCCTGATTGGAGCCGCTCCACTCGTTGGTTGACTCAGTGTGTGTCCTGTGCTGCCGGACGACTGTCTGCCGTTATAATTGCCCAACCCTAAAAACCTGCTGTGTGCAGTGACTCCACATAATCTCAAAGGTCCTGTCCTCATAGTACTAACTACTGTCAGCAAACCCAATACTTGTCAACTGGTGGACCAGCTAGCTAACTACATATAATCTGTAAATTTTACAGCATCAGAAGGTGTATTTCTGTGGAGCTAGGCTAGCAGTTCTCTGCTGCTTCAAGGCTTTATGCTAAGCTAGGCTAATCATATCCCAAACCTGTCACTGTATTGGATGCACATATGTGAAATAGATATTGATCTTCTTGTGAGCGAGGGCTTGATGGCAAACAAGTGCATTTCCTGAACTGTCAGCGACGCTTTAATGTGCAGACAGTCTTACTTTGCAGTTTCTTGTGAGTGCTCTCTAAATAAATCTGTTGTATGTAGTTATCTTTATCTAACATGCTCACCAAAGTCTAATCAGAGGAATCAGAAGATGGGCTCACATTCCAGATGCTGATGTGTATATACTTGTGTATTTGTATCAGGCACAATTGCCCTGTCAGCTTTCCAAAATCTATCATTGTTCAGCTGCACTGTCTTTCATAATAGTGGACATTGGGCTCTGAAACATTCAACAAAGCCTTTACACCATGAACCAAACTTTCCCCTAATTTCATTTTCACATTTGTTTAACTGTTCTCTGTTTTAACACAACTACTGAACCTCCAACAACATGTCGCCAGTATATTACTGTGCTGACACAGACAACCATTCACACCTGCAGGCAGTTTAGTGTGCAGTTCATCTGGGCTGCATGTCTTTGGACTGTGGGAGAAAACCTTTGCGGGCACTTCGAGAGACTGCCTGCTGGATTCAAACTAAGGATTTTCTTGCCGTGAAGCAGCAGCGCTGACCACTGAGCCACCGTGCCACCCGATGTTTATTCCTACTGGCCTAAAGTTGTGTTAAACTTGTTCTCTGTTTTAATACAACTTTTGCTACTCAGCCTCATGGATCTTGAGAGACATTGCTTTGTTACAGATGTTCCCTGAAACTGTATGTAGCAAAGGGCTGGGAGAGATGGTAGGGGAGGAGAGGGGAGGAGAGGAGGTGACCAATAGTTTTCTTCACCTCAAATAGGAGTGAATATGAGAGATTATATATGTTATCTAAATAAAGGGACCTCTAGTCTGTGTACTTTCTTTGACCCAAGAAAATAAACCAAGAGCTTGTAAGTGCCTAAACATACAACTGATTTTAATGTTTGAGTTTTACACCTGTGAACACAACTCCTTTGTCCCGTGTCAGGTTTAGCTCATGCCGAGTTATTGACGTTGAGGTCAGAGACTGCAGTTGACAGTATGTTCGTGTGTGCATGAAGTGGGTTACCAGTTGGACACATTTAATTGGGAAATGCATATTGACTAGGCCAGTCGTTCCCAACCTCTTTCCATTCCATCATTGAGTAACTGACTTAGTAACATGCTTTATGGATATTTTATATCACAAGTAGACAGTAGAGAACAACTGATAAACTGTATGATGAACCCAAACACACAATAACTGCAGGAAGTTTGTGTAAAATTAGTGATTTGGAGGAATTTTGAGCAGATTATTTCGTGAATATTTATATCATGAGTTTTCCTGATATTTTTAGGATCGTTTATACAATTCACTGTTGTTTTTTAACAATCACACACACAAGTTGCAGTAGGTAACTAAAGTAGTACATTTCACTGTACTACAATTGCACCAATTGTTTCCTCATCCCTAGGGTTTTCTAGAAATGCAGACAACTTGTTAGATGTTGACAGTTTTCATAGCAGGATTGCAGAAGGGTGCACTAAAAATACAGCTACTATACAAAGTGGTGAAACATTTGTATAGGAACAGTGACAGATTTGATATATATAGATCTGGATATAGATCCATAACCTTGTATACCATTGGATCTTTTGGATACTGGTGCAGTGGTAGCTGAACATTCTGTGACCATTTTGGAAAATAACTATATTTCTATTTTAAATCTCTGGATTCCTAATAGGTGAAGCTACCAAATTTACATACCATGAATGTTTAGTTTTAAAACTTGATTCCTTGAATAAATAGCTGGTAGTATTCAAAAGTTACTTTTTAATATCTTTTTTTTTTTTTAATTTTGAGGCATTTTGTGTGGAAAAATGGTTAAAAACCCATGTTTTTCAGCATGTATGACATGATTTCCAACATAAAAATCTAAAAGTAAAACAAAGCTAAATTTTAAAAAATCTAAAAATCTTGATAACATTGCTGGCTGTTTAGTTATTGATTACAACAGAGCAAAACAAAAAGTTCTGACTTCATTTGTTGGGCCTATAGATTGTTTCTATTCACTTCATTTAGTGAAATTAATCACCAACTGCCATCAACAGTTATCAGTGGCTGTCCAAGTTCAGGAACTTAATATAAAATAAATATTATTTAGACTGTTTTTCTGCTATCGATCTTCATCAGTTAACTTCAATAATTTCTACATCGAAGCCATCAACCTGTCTGTTGGACCCGATCCCAACTAGGCTGCTTAAAGAAGTTGTACCCTTAATTGGCACTTCTTTACTGGATATGATTAATCTTTCTTTATTATCAGGATATGTACCACAGTCCTTTAAAGTAGCTGTAATTAAACCCCTTCTTAAAAAGCCCACTCTTGACCCAGGGGTTTTAGCCAACTATAGACCGATCTCTAACCTCCCCTTCCTCTCTAAGATTCTGGAGAAAGTAGTCGCCAAAGAGTTGTGTGACTTTTTACATAACAATAATTTATTTGTGGATTTTCAGTCAGGATTTAGAGTTCATCACAGCACAGAGACAGCTCTGGTCAAAGTTAATAATGACCTTTTGATTGCTTCAGACAATGGTCTTGTCTCTGTACTTGTATTATTAGATCTTAGTGCTGCATTTGACACCATTGACCATGATATTCTTTTACAGAGACCTGAGCATCAAATTGGCATTAAAGGAACCACACTAAGCTGGTTTAAGTCATATTTATCAGATCGTTCGCAGTTTGTACATGTTAACGACTAATCTTCAATAAATACTACAGTTAGTCATGGAGTTCCATAAGGTTCTGTACTTGGACCAATACTATTTACTTTATATATGCTCTCTTTAGGCAAAATTATTAGGAATCACTCCATTAACTTTCACTGTTATGCAGATGATACACAGTTATATCTATCAATCAAGCCCGATGAAATTAATCAATTATCTAAATTACAAACATTTCTTAAGGACATAAAATCGTGGAGGAGCTGCAATTTTCTGATGTTAAACTCAGAAAAAAACGAAATTCTTGTTCTTGGCCCCAAAAATCTTAGAGACTCACTGTCTAAAGATATAGTTACTCTAGATGGCATTACCTTGGCCTCTAGCACCACTGTCAAGAATCTTGGAGTTATCTTTGATCAGGATTTGTCATTTAATTCCCAAATAAAGCAGACCTCTAGGACTGCCTTCTTTCATTTACGTAATATTACAAAAATTAGACACATCCTATCACAGACAGATGCAGAAAAACTAATCCATGCATTTGTTACTTCTAGGCTGGATTACTGCAACTCTTTATTGTCAGGTTGCCCCAATAAGTCCATTAAAACGCTCCAATTAGTTCAAAACACTGCAGCACGAGTACTGACAGGAACTAGGAAAAGAGATCACATCTCTCCTGTACTAGCTTCCCTGTAAAATTTTGAATAGAATTTAAAATCCTCCTCCTCACCTATAAAGCTCTTCATGGTCAGGCCCCTTCATGTCTTAAAGAGCTCATAGTACCCTATTACCCCTCTAGAACACTACGTTCTCTGAATGCTGGGCTACTTGTGGTTCCTATAGTCTCTAAAAGTAGAACAGGAGCCAGAGCCTTCAGTTACCAAGCTCCTCTCCTGTGGAATCAGCTTCCAGTTGTGGTTTGGGAGGCAGACACCCTCACCACAATCAAGAGTAGGCTTAAGACATTCCTCTTTGATAAAGCTTATAGTTAGGGCTGGATCAGGTGAATCCTGAACCATCCCTTAATTATGCTGCTATAGGCCTAGACTATCGGGGGATTTCCCATGGTGCACTGAGCTCCTTCTTCCTCTCTCTCTCTTTCTGCACTCATTCATGTCCCATTAATGCATGTTACTAACTTCACTTCTTCCCCGGAGTTCTTGTGCTTTCTCGTCTCGCAGGTTCTTATCGATCCTGGTGGAGCCTCCTGTCATGGTCCTGCTAGATTGCCATTACCAGTACTGTTGTTGCTGTGCACCTGTCTGTCTGTCTGTCTGTCTGTCTGTCTCTGTCTGTCTCTCTCTCTCTCTCTCTCTCTCTCACCCCAACTGGTCGAGACAGACGACCACCCACCTAGAGCCGAAGGATCTGTCCTAGGTTTCTGCCTCTTAACAGGCAGTTTTTCCTTGCCCTTGTCGCCAAGTGCTTGCTCATGGTGGTACTGTTGGGTCTCTGTAAATAATGTTATAAAGAGTTCGGTCTAGACCTGCTCTATTTGAAAAGTGTCCTGAGATAACTTCTGTTATGAATTGGCGCTATACAAATAAAATTGAATTGAATTGAATTGATCAAAAAATAAAAAGTCATAATGCACAAAAGTCTGGTATCTGGGTCTATATTAAACCAAAGGTTTATACAGATGGAATAAAAGGATACCCCCCATCCCCTGCCTATTCCCGGATGGTACCTGGCCTTACATTTCTGTACTGTATTGGTTAGACTGCTATATTTGAACAGCTATGTGAATTATTGGCCCTTTATTTTGAAATTTTTTTTCCTTAAAATGTATCATAACAAGAGAATGACCCTGTCATAGAGACTGTTTCTGTAAGGGACAGTTTACTGGAAAGACATGTACCTGTTGGAATCTTTACATGTTGTCTTTAAACCATTTTTCAATGCTGTGAGCAGCACAAACTGAATTCCATTTACCTCCATTGCATTGCTTTAGTGGCAGAGAGTGTGCATGACATGTCTAAATCTGGAAAAAATCTAACCAACGCTTTCTGCATGGATGGATACCACCAGAGGGAAGATAACAACTAACCATTTAACTTGAATCAACCATCCTTGAACACTGCACTGCAGTATTAGGAGTCACAGCACTCAATGTCACACAAAGCAAACAGATGAAGTCTACTTGATGTTAGTCATACATAGGGTCAGCTCTTTATACACAGCACTTCTCAGCTTTCACCTCAACCATTTATTTGCTTTTATCACAATACTACCCATACTTTAACCAAACTGTAGTTGCCATGCATGGATATTGTAGAAATACAGAAGTCAGTTTTTAAAATGTTGAAAGCTGTGCAGTGCCGTTGGAGACGCACACAGTCTTAAGACTTAAAAGTGCATCTACACACATTGACTTGAAAGAAGTGAATATTTATGCCATCAAATATTTCGAATTTATGTCTACCAATTTGGCATCATCAGTTAATATAGTGCGTAGGAAAGTACCAAAAAAAGTACCCAAATAAATTGTTAGTAATTACTAGTAAGTATGTACCACAGTATGTAAAAGTAAATACCACAAGTTTCATTGTTCTGTCAATACATGGTTTGGTTCCAGTTACATACCCTTATATCAGTGGTTCCCAATCTGGGGGTCGGGACCCCCACTAGGGGTTGCTCTAGCTTCATGGGAGGTCGCAAAGCCTTCCTGATTTTAAGGGGTGCAAGAAAACTGTTTTTTAAAGATATACAGGAGGCCTAAAGCTATGCATTTCAATCAGTTCTGTATAGAAAACTAAATAAAATTATAATTTTGAAAGTTTAGATTATTATTTAGATTATCTGAATTTCAAGGCCCTGAACATAATCTATATTGACAGAGCCTTAACTCTTTGATAAACAGCCTTGGCCTGCATTAGAGAAGTATGCAGTTGAACCCACCACAAAAACAAATAAAACATTTTAACAAATTTACCCCCCGGGGGATCAATAAAGTATTTCTGATTCAGATATTATATCTATAATTTCACTATACTTTTTTCAAATTTAATTTTCAATACAAAGGAAAAGGTTAAAATAATCAAAAATCCTAATTCTTAGGGGTCAGAACCAAACAAACATGCTTTCTGGAGAACAAGATTTGTAGGCCAGGGCATCTCTGCAGCACTACAGTACTCAATTTAAATGCAGTTTGTTACACATTTTACCATTATTAAAGCATTGCAGCTCTTGATTCTGTGATTTGAAATTGAGATTTTGAACATTTAGATAGAAAAGGCTCCCTTAAGGAAAAAGGTTTGGAACCACTGCTTTAGATATACCGAGACAGCTGAGGACAAAAATGTCCATGTTTTGGACTGAGGAGAGCTGAGCAGAAGGAAGCCATGTAAAGGAAGAGCCTAATAACTTGTGTAACGTGTCAAATGTCTTCAGTGACACCAAAAACTAAAAGTCTTGGTCACAGATTGTTATTTTTTATTGGTCACCATGCTTAAGAAGGTGGGTCTTATCTAATGTGATCCTGCTGTCAGAGGACAGAGACAGGACAGCGGAGATATGGACACATGAGAATGAGAGCAAGCAGCTATTGCTGAGAATGTGACAGATGGACCCTGAATTATTTTGTTTTATTTCTGCCTGTGTCTATGCGTTAACTTATATCAGGGGTTCTCATACTGTGGGGCTGGTCCCTCTGGTGAGGCATAGAGCCTCTAGGGCGTATGTCTGTTAGTTGCTGCTACAGTTAGGAGCAGGGACACTGGAAGCCAGTCAGATTTGGGGGTAATTTATACCCTATTTAATAGTAATTAACAACATTTTACATAAATATTAGAATGTTTTAGCAGATAAAATTATAAAAACAAGGCAAAACATCTTCCCTGCCATAAATACCTGTGTACATGTGCATCACCCCCATCCCCTACTTTCAGCCCCCATGACAGGAATTTAGCCAAAATACAGATTTCACCTAAAACACCTTTAAATCCCCACAACCTAACATTAAATAATTTTACCAGTACTACCTGTGCATTGACAGAATACAGTGAATTGAAATAATTTTTTGATTTACAATCTACTGTATTTAGCAAGCAAGCCCAGTTAGCTCTTTGCTTCACTCCCAAATTAGACTACTTACATATCATGAAGTTTACAGGGTTCCCACTCTTTTTTTGATAATAACAGACAGCACTTGCTTACAAGTATAATATATATTATATAAGCTGCGGTTTTGGGCAAATTGACTACAATAATTTACATCTTACATTTTACATTTAATTCACATCAGGTAGGATGTATTTTATTTTACATAACATGCCAGTAAGTTAAAGTGGTAATTGCACATACAATCAACATTGCTGTGCATATATTATCACACGTGTAGAAATAAAATACACACCATAGGTTTACATAGGCGATCTGTGTGAGGACTTAAAATACAAACATTTCCAGGATATTTGGTTATTTTAATCAATTCCCATAACTGGAAAACAAGCCTCTCAATTTCAAGATGTTCCAGGTTTTCCAGGACGTGGGAACTCTGAGTTTAAGGACATACATTAGACCAATAAAAATCAACTGTTGACATATCACTCCCCAGCCATATTGAGTTATTTCAAACAAATAAAGTCAATAAAATATAAACAAGTCAATAAACAATAATTAGAATTAAAAATGTGAAAAGAAATTTCCCTCCTGGTTTGTAGTGTCAGAGTGCATTTTACAATGTGGGATGTCAGTACATCACGCTTTTGAGATAGTTGTGTCATGTGTTAGCTCTACATTCATGTGTTGACAAACCTTAAAGTCATTCAATCCCTTTAACCTTCAGTTCATCTCGAACTCGGCTGAGATAATCAGGGTCTGGGTATCCATAGCTGCAAACACAAGGACAGAAAGTCAGCAACCTCATCTGAACAGTTTCATAGTCACAATTAAAATACAGTGATACTATTGTGCATTATCATATGTACTGCTGATCATTTAGGTCACATAAATAACTTTGTCTTGCCATAAATAGATATTAGCTGTAAAAAGGAAGAATGAATGCATGCCAATTCACTGTACAGCAAAGGAAATCTTTGTTGTGGCAGTTAGATATGAACATGTCAAACACAATTTCACACCCTGCTCAGTGGCTTATTTGGTTAGTGGTATACTGGTTCATGTCTTGAGGTCTTTGCCAATTTAATAACATAAAATAAGAATATTCTATTGCTTTTAAGCTATTAGGAGCCAAAACCATATGGCCAACAAGGCAAACAACTATGTCACTGCAGATCAATGATTGGCATCATTATATATGTATATGTAAAAAATGTAAAAAGCAGAAATAGGTGTTGATGAGTCAGTCTGCCTTCATCAAAGTGGACCGACCTGACATATACAACTACCTTACTGAATCTCATATTCTGACATCTGACACTGTTGTTAAGATGCTGGGGTGAAGCAGAACCGGCGTTTGTGTTTATTAATCAAACTTTTACTACGAGCTGTGAAAAAAAGAAAACGGGTGGGTTTTATTGCCACTTTCTATGTAACTTTATGCTGTTTATAAGGTTAATTTATAGAAGGTAGGGCAGCTCAAATGATGTGAATTATTAAGGTTAAAATACCCTCTGCTCCCCACTGTCAAACCAAACTCAATTCTACAAGCAGTTGTTTAATGGTAGGGCCATATTTTTTCACGGTAAAAACTTTATTTACACCATCACTCTTTATCTACAGACACAATCGCAGATGTCATTGACTCAATAACATCATTAACTAACCTGTGATGAAGTGTTTGCCACAGACGGACACATATTGTTTTACACTTTTTATCCTCTCTGCAGATGGCCTTAAGCTACAGATCTCTTCTTTTACTGTCCTTTGGGGAAGTAAAGAAAATCATAAAAATGGTATTGTTTGATGTGCAAAATGCAATGCAGCAGCTTTTAGGCTATATATTGTTACTGATGCTGCAACGGTTCCTAGTGTTCTGTTGTTTGTGTTGTTTTTACCCTGTAAAAGCACTTTGTAAACCTGTTTTTGAAAGGTGCTATATAAATACAGTTTATTATTATTTCTATTATTAGTAATGGCATTTCAATTCAATTCAATTGCATTTAATGCACATCAATAAAATAAAGGCTAATGTTGACAAAGCAGGAGTCCTTACTGAGTTGGTCCTCCATATACTGAGGTTTTGTGATGAATATCGTTCCATGTGACCATATTGCTCCTGCCACTGGTGGTGGACCGACCAACAGTGAAGATGAGTCTCTGATCAAAGGCTCGTCTCAGCAGTTTCAGGACCTTGTTGCCCTCTGAGGAGTCTGGGAGATAGGCTGTACGGGATGCTCCTTCGTATGGATGACCAGGGTTAGGATGCTCCTCCTGCAGACACACAGCAGAAGTTTCTCTGCTCAAGGATGTGCCCATATTCAAGTGACTGGGGGTTCACAGCTCTTAGGCAACAGTACATTTTATTTGTTACATTTTAAAAGAAGGACAGAACATAAAGGAAACATGTACACAGGGGCGCACTCATACAAAAGCCAGAAACAAGCAATTTCAAGAAACAAAATATGATCTAAAAAGATTTTAAAAAGACAATTATAAAAAATAAACACAAAAAAGAATTCTAAACCCTGTCCTCTAACAATAATAATAATGATAAAAAAAAAACATATGAACAGCACACATAGTTACGTAGAATGGTCTTGTTGATATAATAATGACATAACAACTATTGTGATCAAAAAGACCATTCCAGCATTCATTTAGCACCATTTGCACTGGAACCAGAATTTAAAATTCTCCTCCTCACCTATAAAGCTCTTCATGGTCAGGCCCCTTCATATCTTAAAGAGCTCATAGTACCCTATTACCCCTCTAGAACACTACGTTCTCTGAATGCTGGGCTACTTGTGGTTCCTATACTCTCTAAAAGTAGAACAGGAGCCAGAGCCTTCAGTTACCAAGCTCCTCTCCTGTGGAACCAGCTTCCAGTTGTGGTTCGGGAGGCAGACACCCTCACCACATTTAAGAGTAGGCTTAAGACATTCCTCTTTGATAAAGCTTATAGTTAGGGCTGGATCAGGTGAGTCCTGAACCATCCCTTAGTTATGCTGCTATAGGCCTAGACTATCGGGGGATTTCCCATGGTGCACTGAGCTCCTCTCTTCCTCTCTCTTTCTGCACTCATTCATGTTCCATTAATGCATGTTACTAACTTCACTTCTTCCCCGGAGTTCTTGTGCTTTCTCGTCTCGCAGGTTCTCATGGATCCTGGTGGAGCCTCCTGTCATGGTCCTGCTAGATTGCCATTACCAATACTGTTGTTGCTGTGCACCTGTCTGTCTGTCTGTCTGTCTCTCTCTCTCTCTCTCTCTCTCTCTCTCTCTCTCACCCCAACTGGTCGAGGCAGACGACCACCCACCTAGAGACGAAGGATCTGTCCTAGGTTTCTGCCTTTTAACAGGCAGTTTTTCCTTGCCCTTGTCGCCAAGTGCTTGCTCATGGTGGTACTGTTGGGTCTCTGTAAATAATGTTATAAAGAGTTTGGTCTAGACCTGCTCTATTTGAAAAGTGTCCTGAGATAACTTCTGTTATGAATTGGCGCTATACAAATAAAATTGAATTGAATTGAATTGAATTTAACCAAAAATACATTCTTGCAGCCGCTAATTCCAAACACCAAATTTAAAAAAATAAATAAATAAATAAAATAAAAATAAAAGTTCAATCTGTTGTCTTACCGTTTGGGTGCCGCTTGGAATGTAATAACTGATGATTATTGTTCCATATTTCTCATATCCAGGCAAAGATGAAGCATTTCTGGTAACTTCCATTTTGCCTCCATCAGGTTGTGTCCCCTTCAAAACGCCATACAGCTGTCCACATGTCGGGCACACAGGCTTGTAGTTGAAAGCTGTTTTCAGACAGTCTCTACAGAACGAGTGCTTGCAGTTTAGAGTCTTTTTCTCTGTTGCCACTATTGGCTCCATACAGATTGGACATGGTTCATCCTCAGGTTCTTTGCTGCGTGCAGGTGAAGGACCTGAGGCTCGGCTGCTTTGAGTGCCTGCTGGACTCTTGCTCACTGGACTCTTGCTTGAGATTTGTGAATTTTGTAAAAATAACTCGTTTAATTTAGCAATGTGCACAAAAGACCCAGTCACTGTTACTTTGTTTTTGTTGTGGTGGCTTGGTTTAAAAAGGAGGTGTGGAAACCTCTTCCGCAGGTCTTTGTGGTCATGTGCGCTCACAGAGACAGATGTGACCTGCAGGTCGGAGGCAGTTCTCTGGTAGAATGTGATGAATCGCTGTCTGACAAAGTCAGCATGAACAGGTATGGTGCCTTTGCGTGGTCTAAAAGTCACCCGTACTGTGCTATTGGGTTTATTGTGTACTGTTCTGAGGTCAGGCTGTGTTTCAATGACAAAACTATTCCCTTTAATTCGGTTAAGTTCTTGTTCACACTTTTGCTCAATGTAGGCCATAACAACCCCAGATACATCCACATAGCTGACACGAGTTGAAGCCTGTTCATCTTGCTGACAGATTCGTCCATGTGCAGCAGGACTGGAGTCCCTCGCAGCTGACAATTCGGTTGAAAGCCTCTCCACGTCTTTATAGGTTCCACTCACTTTGTAGCTGGAACCTTTTTTCTCAGGACTGTAAGACTTAAGAATTCTCAGTAATGATCCAGGGTTTTCAAAAACAGCTTCATCAATGGTGATAGTGACGTCTGTGATAAACTGCAACAAGACATGACAGCTGAAGTTAGCTATTAGCTACATAACTCCATCTAAATGCAACATAGAGAGCCTAGCACATAGTACAGGAAAGGAGGAAGTTGACCACAGTTCTGAAAAAAGGGCGGGATTTATGTATTGGCATGAATCTGGCAATACAATTCAATATATTTCAATATGTTGTGATACTGTCAGTAAGGCCATATATTGCAATTTAAAAAAAATATATTCTATGAAAACTTTCATAGTAGATAGATCTGCACTTATATCACAGTCCCTGTAGCATCCAGGGGCGGCAGAGCAGGTCGTCCCCTAATCGGAAGGTTGTTGGTTCGATCCCCAGCTCCTGGTGACACATGTCGAAGTATCCTTGAGCAAGATACTGAACCCCGAATTGCTCCCGATGCCGTGCGTCGGTGTGTGAATGTGTGTGAAAGGGTGAATGTGGCACCTAGTGTAAAAGCGCTTTGAGTGGTCGGAAGACTAGAAAGGCGCTATACAAGTACAGGTCCATTTACCATTTACCATCCAACATCATAGCCTTCATTTTACGATTAAAACACTGTTATCAAGCAGTTGGAGGTTTCAACACAAAAAACTAAGAATCAACACAATATCACAAAACAAAATATAGTGATACAATATTTGCCGATATTTTCTTACACCCCTGCTTGGGGGATCAGGGTCCAAGCAGCTTACGAGCATTTGGATGCTTGTTTCTTATTTAATTGAAGCACTTGAAAGCACATGCATTTATTAGGACAGCAGCACTGGGAGACATGGTTTCTATACACACTTTCTCTCAAGTTAAGGCAGTGACATCATAGATGCCACACTCAGTGTCTGTTTAAATGTAAAATGCTTACAACAGTCAAAATGTTGGTGATACATTTCTGTAACAAATCACTCGTAATTCTGCTGTTTCATGTGTACTGTCAAATATTTTTGTGAAGTTTGATCAAACATTTGGTGAAATAGAAAATGTTGTGCATACAGTACTTATTACAGCAAGACACTTAATATCACTGCAGACTCACTGTTTGACCAATCTGAACACCATTTGAAATGTGATATGGTTGCATTGGAATGAATTCTTATGGAGATATCTATATCTTCATATAATTCATTAAGTTAATTCATTTTGTCAGATTGTCCCTGACAATGAATCAATTCTGATTCACCCATTATCTAAAAGGGTGCCGAAGAACTTTTGTTTATATATATATATATATATATATATATATATATATATATATATATATATATATATATATATATGAACAATACACTAATACAGTACAAGAAACCACACTTTTGATAACATTTTCTTCTTTCTTTCCTCTTTCTTTCCATTTTATTTGTATAGCGCCAATTCATAACAGAAGTTATCTCCGGACACTTCTCAAACAGAGCAGGTCTAGACCGTACTTACAGCGCTAGTACAAAATGATATTATATTATTATATAATTAGATATATTTTTTTGAGATGATATTGTTGTAAACATGTAAATTAAGTTGTAAGAGAACATTTTCTCATTAACTTTTCCAAAAAGTAAATGTAAATGTGTTGATTTATAGTAAAATTTCCAACCTCAACCACACCTAGCAACCTTTCTGACCACAACTTAGTCTCAGCTTCTGTCTGGGTCAGCTCTGTAGGGCGCGTATTAAGACTTTCAAAAATGCTTTACACGACAAGTTTACAATATGAGCTTTGGCTTTTCGTTTTCACGCGACAGACAACATAAAGATGTTGGCGGGCTTTTATTTTGAAGGTTAGACACCGAAACCGGAAGTATTTTTGAATAGTTTTCTGGCCAACTTCTCCCCGTCGAAAATAAAACAAGTTGTTCCTTTTGTGACTGAATCAAACAGATGGAGATCAAATCGCAGCAGTTTCCTCTGTCTTTTTCAGAAAACAACAACAACAACAACAACAACAGTGAAACTATCAGATGGGTCGAACCCAACCTACCGACTGTAAACTATAATGCAGTTTTCACATCTCAAAGCCTGGTTAAAGTCTGTTAAAGGTAAACACATGCAACCTACCTCCATACTGCAGAGCTCCTCTACAACTACAACTACTGTTGTTAGTGTGAACACAGTGACTCTCTGTCTGTCCGTCTGTCCGTCTGCCCGTCTGTTTTCAGCTTTCAGCTTTCACTTTCAGGGTTAGGTCGTCTTCATTGTTCCTCATGTGTCATACAGCGCACCCTGTCGGTGATCCACTGAATAACATCATAATAAGCACACATAATACACACAAAAAGCACTAGTGAAGAGTGACTTTACTGTGCTCTATCCATTTTATGCTACTTTATACTGTTACATTGAAGATGGAAATGTGTTCTCTACTCAGTTTGCTACTTATCCAGACATCTGATGACTAAAACCTTTAACCCAGTTAAAACCTTTAGTAAATCATAAAGAGTGTATCATAAAATAATTGCTAGAACTAGATCAAATATCACTTAATACTGGAGCTTCTGTTGGACGTAGACGACAGAATGTTTGATTTCCCATCATGTTTTATCAATTATATTGGTATTGCTGGTCTTACCAATGGTCTGACCATATATTAGCGGTAGGTATTTTATGCTTTAATTTTGTATATTTTAATTGTTTAAGCTATCTGCCCCAGTGCAGTTAGTTTTACATTTATTTATCTGACTTTATATTTCATAACACATATGTAGCTACAGGTTAAAAACAATCTTTTTACAAATATACAAAGAAGTTAGTGAACATGAAGAAATCAGTTTATAATGGTTGAAGTGATACTACACCACACTTGAACACAGCAACAGATAATATAGGATAAGCTATACTGAAAAACGAGAAATAATGATAAATGAAAAAAGGCACGTAAACAGATGAGGAGCACAAAACAGCAAAGTAAGAGACATTAAAAAAGCAAGGACTTAAATTACTGTCTAAGTATTGCCTTTGCACTTACAAGTATTTATGTGGCATTCACTCCAAATTATCTCAAGGTTTACAGTGTCAGTAACAGAGTAACAGTTATCCGTAAAATAAATAATATCACTGTAAGTAAAAGAAGGTATGTATGCAGGTATGTGTCCGTTTTTAAGGACAACAAATCCTTAACATTCGTATGAACAATTAAAAATATATGGTCTGTTGATTTTCTTTTATACAAAAGTTGCAAAACAATTTCTGAGCCAATATTTGATAAATACTTTGCTCCCTGGTTTGAAGGGGGACTCTCAATCTCAGAGAAACTGTAAATTAAATGTATCCTTCAAATGAAATCATAAGAAGAACATTTCAATTTGAAATTAATAACTGTCACCCATGTAATAAAAAACAGCAGAGCAACTGTTTTATACAAAACTCTTTGGATGATTGGCTAATTTCCAAATCCATAAAATGAAGATCACCTTCCCTTCCAGTTAATTCAAGTCGGGGTCATTTTGAATAACAAATTGAATTTCTACTAAATAATATTATTATTATAACCAAATATCACATACACATATCGGTCTGCTAAATTCCCTCCATTATGGCTAGCACTTAAAAAGGAGTTCTTTATTCTAAATAAATGTATAAGAAAGGTCAAAAACCTTAACCTTAACCTTACCTTAAAAACTGAATATGGTTTAATTGGGGCGGCTGTGGCTCAGAGGCCGGGTCGTTCCTTAATCGGAAGGTTGTGGGTTCGATCCCCGGCTCCTGGTGCCGCATGTTGAAGCAAGATACTGAACCCCAAATTGCTCCTGATGCTGTGCATCGGTGTGTGAATGTGTATGAATGAGTTAGTTTCTGTTCGATGGACTTTACCATCACTGAGTGAATGTTTGTGAAAGGGTGAATGTGGCATGTAGTGTAATAGCGCTTTGAGTGGTCGGAAGACTAGAAAGGTGCTATACAAGAACAAGTACAGGTCCATTTACCATTTAATCTAGTCCCCTGTGAAGCTCATTTAGTTTATTTATAATTATTGTATTGTTTTATTGTTTTTATGTTATACTATTGGTTAAATGTAATTAATCCATGTTGGGGAAAATATGTTTTATATGTACAAAAGTTTGTCATTGTACTCTTTATAAATAAAGTTGGGAAAAACCCACATATGTACAGGGTTAGGGTACTACTGCCATCGTGTGGCACTTGTACATTACTACAAAATATAGTTTGACAGACATTAGCACATACGCCGCAGTGACTGATAACATTTAAAATGAGTAATCCAAAAAATAAAAAAAGTTTTTCCTCAAATCTTTATTGACAATATAAAAAATAAATACATAGGGATACAAGGAAGTTATTAATATAGGCAAACGAATCTTTAAATGAAAACACAAATCTGTTTTTCTTATTTTTGGAGTTAAAATAGTTTTAATGTAATGTTTTCCTATTGATACAGTATATACCAAACAGTACATTTTCCTAGTAAAACATTTCAGAGTCAATGTGCTAGTGTAATGGTATTGCCAGACCAGGTACAGCATTGTTTCTGGATACACTTCACAAAATAAACACAAATATTTTATAAACTTAAGAAGATTACAACTGGGAGGATAATACCTATGTATGATTCTCTTCCTTTACTTTATTGGTAAGGAGATATGTAAGGTTGGTTGAGCGGTGAAGAAACCTTTAGCTCTTCAACAGTCCAAGTTTCTTTATTTTCCTTTTTGTCACAGCCAGATTAATGCAGTGTATTTACAGTGCCGATCAGGTTTGCCCAAGCTGAAGAAAATGTATTAAATAAAACAAAATGTGTTCCACATGTGTTCAGAAAAATGCTGTACCCTCATATCTTAATGACCTCATTTCAATGGATTTGTGCTTAGCTCAGCTGAGGACATTAGTGGGTTAATTTTTAAATATTGTCTTGGTAAGAGTTTTGCCTTATTATAACATGTATGCTTAGTTTTAAAAGTAGATTTTATTAGCTGGAAGTGGTCTGGGGCTCACTGAGCGGCAACGTTATCATGGATGTATGGATGAATATGCAATTGTATAATGACAGACTAAGAGGAATGTGAGTTCAAAGGTCAACATTTAAAACAACACTGAAAATAGATATAACAGATATAGTAATAATATATAGGTATCAAATAAATAAGTGTGTAATTACGAAGATCCATTGTCAGAAAGGGAGTATAATATTCATAGATATGTTTTCATTAGTATATAATCACCTGAAAATAAGAATTATTGTGTTTTCCGTTACTTTAGAATGAGCTGTAGTTTAGTCTTACACACTTTACAGTCCGTTCTCTTTCCCACGTCGTCAAATACAGACAGACAGCAGTGTTCAGTTAGTTTCAATCTGAAGCTTCACTAGATGCCACTAAATCCTACACACTGTTCCTTTAACTTCTGGTTGCCTTTTTACTATTATATTTACATATTATAGTGCTGGAATTTAAATTCATTGCAAAAATAGTCTGCTTCATGGTCTGCTAATTTGCTTAATGAATATGAACTTACGAATGTAATAGTACCTAATGTAAAATATCAGATAGAATGCATACATTACTCATTACTCAGAAGCATATTATGCATATGCACCTGCACACTTGCTTTAGCCACTGGGGGTACTGAAGTTGCAAGCCACGGTGAAGGAGCATTTCTACTGAAAGACAAGTGAACAGCAGTTGTGTGCCCTTCTTCAGTCAACAGTGGGCTCAAAGCTATTTGGGCGGGGGCTGTTAGACATCCTAGGGCCACTGCCGGAAACGGCAGATACAAACAAGTATATCTTAGTTATTGGGGATTGCTTTGCCAAGAGGACAGAGGCCTTACATTGTGTATTCTTAGTTGAGGGAGGGACTGAGGTGATTGTGCATTACAGCAGAGTCAAACATTTTCTCTCCCCTGTACCAGAGGCAAGCAAAGGTGGGGGGGCATGGAGGCAGCAGCTTGACGGGATGCATTGGCGAGCAGCAGGTTCCTGAAAAGGCCCATCAGCTGGTACATCCAGGGCCGGAGAGCGAATCAGTCTCCAGCTTTTCTAAAAAACTGCGATGTTGATATGTTTTATGCATTTTTTTGCAATAACATTGCGGTAGAAAGTGAAGTAGCAAAAAACAAGTAGTGTTTTTATTTCTATAAAAATAAAAAATCGAATGCAACTTGTTCCAGTGAGAATAAAATCACTAGTAGTTTGATAACTAGGGCTCAACATTATACTGCTGTGATTGGTGAAGCTACAAAGATTGGTCAAATATGCAAGATCACGCAGAATGAATTTTTTCAGGGACTGGGTGTGTGACTTATGTGAGCGAACTCTTTACATTCTCACATCACAATATAAACAGTCACCTACCATTTCCTTCCTTCTTTCTTTTCTCCCCAGCCTCAGGCATTGGAGGCATTGAAAATATATAGATTTAAGTATTCAAGACAAAATACCACAAGAAGCAATCACAACTGCATGTTCAACCTTATAACCTATTTTAAAACATAGAATTCACAGCGCTGTCACAGAAATATTGACATTAATTTTCCATAAAATACAACACTAAAGTTAAAACATTACTGTAAAGCTGAGATTTCACAGCAGCAGGTGAAGGCAGCACCCTGCTTACGCTGCTGTGTAAAGGTCTGTCCAGCAGAGGTCAATGAAGCTCTACACACAAACTAATGCTTTCAGACTATCTGTAGATCCATAGAAGTGATGCTTCTGGCCGCCATGTCACCGTCCTGACCAACAGCTGGGTTTTCTACCGAGCACATTCTGTTTACTTCACACCGAGTCTTCTGTGTTTTGTCACAAAGGATCTTTTCATTGATCTTAACCTACAGGGAGCTGGCTGGGTCTTGTCCTGATGCTGTCTCAGCACAGGAGAGAGGGCAGCAGTTAGCTTACATATAACCGATGAGTGGATTTATTCACATTCACTCACCGATGCACAGCATCAGGAGCAATTCGTTGTTCAGTATCTTGCTCAAGGATACTTGGACATGTGGCAGGAGGAGCTAGGGATCGAACTAACAACCTTCCGATTAGTGGACGACTGCCTTTGAGCCACAGCCGCCCCTTTATACATGTTGTGTATATATATTTATTGGATCACACTCCGCAGTGTTTGGACTGACATGTGTGAAGTGAAATTGTCCTATAGCCCAGTTAGTGAAAAGATAAAAAAAGAATAAAATGGAATTTGTATTATTGTTTTATGGTAAATTATTATGAGCAAATGAAACAATTTGTGCGATAAATGAGTCCATTATT